TAAGATTACAGATGCCCAAAACCCAACCGATCAGTAGAGACAGTTACCATAACACAGATATAATTTCCAAAATTCGTTGTCCGTGGGAATTGAACCTTAGACCTGCCACTTGGGAGTTGACAACCTATCCACTTCACTAGGTCGCCACACCCCTTAAAAAAATATATATATATATTTGTTTGTTTTTTATATTTATATATTTTTTTTTAATATTAAGATAAATAATTGTGACCCAAAAGTTTATTAATAATTAGTTGGCATATAACTATTATGTATAACAGTTACAGAAACAATTATAGAAAAAATGTACAACTAGCCACTCATACAACTTTAGTTATTGTCTATTTTAAGTAGTCTACCTGAAGGTTCTATATTAGTTGCTATATCTAGAACTTACCTGTAAGTTCTTTATTTAATTACTCTAGTTCACATATCCATCTCTACTTTATTAACTGCAAATATACCATAGTCACTAAGTTATGTTTAACTTTATACTAAGTCTACCAGAGCCTTTTGTATCTTATACTTATAGCTGACTTAGTACTACTTTGGTCTAGACTATTACTTGCAGTTAAAGCTAACCATTAAACTACTATACTCTTGTAAAGTTTACTAGAATCCCAATACCTTTCTTTCCTAACTTTTATCTTCTACTTCTGGATCTACAAGACCTACAAAACTTTACAAACTACCAATCCAGATGGCCCAGTATGGTATTCTAAAATCATTTTCTTCTGGTAGTTCCTAGCAGCCTGGTTGGTATATGCTCTTCTACACATGTTGTCATCTGATCTGTTTTAAATATCCTAATAATTTTTTTTTAGGGCCTTCTAATAGATCAGTAGTATTATCAAAAGTTCATACTACCTTTTTACTTAGGATTTCCAAGTAGGTTTCTGTGCTTTAGTTTCTTAGTGTTATGTACCTAGTAGTTTTATTATGGATTTGTACTAGAGTCTTATGCAACACTAATTATTAATATTCCTCTATATATATGTAATGTTACATTTTGTATAGATGCCCCAAGATCATATTCAAGATGATGTTTTTAAAATTACAAATCATCTTTTTCATCCAACTGATCAACAAGACACAGTTACTATAATACAGGTTTATTTCTAAATTTCACTGTCTATGGGATTTGAACACTAGACCTGCTATTTGAAAGTTGACAACCTGTTCACTTCACTAGATTACTACACTCCTCTTTTTATATTTTTTATTTGTAATTATTTTAAATAATATTTAAATTTAAACTTTAATTATATTTATAAATATAATTAATAATTTGAATTAAAAAAAATTTTTTAATTAGAAATTATATTAAATTATTTTATTTAACTAGTTACTAATTAATTAAAACTATTTTTAAATTTCTTAAAGTTTGCTTAAATTATCTTAATCTTATTTATTATTTATTTTTTTTTTAAATTTTTTTTAAAACTTTTATTTTTTTTAGATTATTTTGTTTTATATTGACTTATTAACTAATTTTTTAATTTTTAACTAGTTATATTAAATTAACTAATTAAAAATTTTTCTTAATTAGTTAACTAAAATTTATTTGGTTTATGTTAATTAACTAATTATAACTTTAACTAATTTAAGTTACCAAATATAATATATATTATATTAAATATATGCTATAATACTAATTTAGAATTTAAAATTTTTTATAATTATAAAATATAAAATTTAAATAAATATACTTTTTTAGCAATACAAGATTTTGTAAATATTAAATAAAATAGTTCTACAAACAAAATTATTAAATCAAAGAAGTGTGACAATCTAGTGAAGTGAACAGGTTGTCAACTTCCAAGTAGCAGATCTAGAGTTTAAATCCCAGTGATGGTAAAAATTTGCAATTCTTTCTGTACTATAGTTAACTGTCTTTTGTGATTGGTTGAAATTAGATATCTGTAATCTATATTATATTAGCATGGCTGAAAAATCTAGGCATTCATACAACATTGTACAAAAAAACACAAACTGATACTAAATAGTGTAAATCTATAATAAGTTCTTAGACTATGTAAATTACAGAAACCAGGTAGGAAGACAAAAGTTTACTTAGAAGACCTAAGTAGAAAAATAACCTGAACTTTTAATACTGCTACTATAAAGACTAGTTTATAAAACAGTTTATATAATCTGTAAAACTGAGCAAAAAGCTAATCTTTGAGAAAAAACTAAATAAAACCAACCAGGCCATTAGAATTTCTAAATTTCAAAGAAAAAGAATATATGCTAGAGAACATGTAAACCAGAGGTATAGTTACAATCTACCTTTTTAGGCTATCTGATTTAAGAGCTTAGTGAAACTTATTTGAATATCAAAGTAGTAAAGATATATTGTAAAGTTAGTATCAAGTTAAGATAAACTTTATAAGAGCATAGCAGTTTAATAATATGCTCTAACTGCTAGTATTAGTCTTAGTCATAGCAATATTAGATCAGCTGTAAAAATAGAATACAAAAGATTCTAAAAGGTTTAGTACAAGATTAAAGATTTCTTATATAAGTGAACTATTTTAAAAACTTAGTGACCATGGCATATTTTAACCAACATCAGCTAGAGTTATTAATAAGCAAAGATAAATGTGTAGATACAGAAATCAAAATGTTTAAATAAGAAACCTACAAGTAGGTTCTAGGTATGGCAGCTAGTATAGAACTTTTGAGTGAACTACTTAAATTAGAGAATAACTAAAATTGTATAAATGACAAGTTGTATACTTTTTTTATAATTGTTCTTTGTAGTTATAATGCAACTATTAGCCAAATATATTATCAATAAAATTCTAGATCACACAAGTACTCATCTTAATATTTAAAAAAAATAACAAAATTATTGAATTTTTTTTTTATTTAAATAAAAAAATTTACTTTTTAAATTATACAAATTTAAAAAATAATCTTATAATTTTGTGAAACTATAAGATTGAATTTGCAAAATTTTATTTTAAAATATTTAACTATTAAATTGTATATTAATTTAAATTTTATAAAAAATTATAAATATTTGATACAAAATTTTATATATTAAGTTTTATAAAAGTAATATTAAGAAAATATTAGATTTGATTCTATAAAATTTATATAATTAAAGTTTAGATTTTTTTAATATTACTTATATGATATTATTTATAGTTTTAATTTACATAGTATATTGTACAACATGGTAAACAATTTTTATAATACAAAAATTCTATACTAACTCAAAGTCTATTTATTTAATAAAAGTAATTTTAATTTATTTATATTCTTAAGTATTAATTTAGATGTAATTTTATAGTGATTTAAATAGTGCACAAATATTATAATATAATTTTATATATTAATATAATATATTAGATAATAAAAATAACAATTTATTAAAATATGCTCAAACATTGCTTTTACTATAATTTTTTAAAAATTGTAATAATGTTCAATTATAATTATAAATTAAAATAAAGATCTTAACTATAACTTAAAAGGATTCTAAATAGTTTATTAAAAATTTTACAAAAAATTTATATTAATAATAAAAATTTATAATAAAAATATAAAAATTCTTGAATAATACTTTATTTATTTTAATATTTATAAAATTTTGATAAGTCAGAACAAAAAAAAAAAATAGTTCAGAACAAAAAGTTTTTAAACTAAAATAGTAACTTAAATGTTTATATTTATTATTTAAATTTTTTTATATAAAAAACTATCTTATTCATCTTAATAGCAAGCTTAATTGATTGATTAAAATTACTTTTTTTTAATTAAAATTTAATTTTTAACATATTAATATATTTTGATCTATTAAATTAAGATGCTTGAGAATGCTCTAAATTAAAGATATCTCAATCCAGTAGTCAGAATTTGAAGCTTATACTATTTGATTTATTGCATTAAAATAAATATAATAGTATAAAAATTATTAACTTCTATCTACTGAATCAAAAGATATTTTTTGATTTTTTATAAAATTTGGTTCTAATATAACTTATTAAATATTGAAATTATTTTGAACTGATTTTAAAAAACCAAATTGTATAAATCTTTCTTGCTATTCAATGTATTTAATTAGTAGGTTTTAAAAGATTATTAAAATAAAAGGTATTTTTATAAAAAGAAATGATTATTACCAAACTCAGGTTTGTCTATATGCATTTTAGTTCATTATGTTATATAAATAAATTAACTGATCAACTAAGTAATACAATTAGACTTTAATATAATTATCAGGCTAGGATACAAAAAATTAGTGATTATAAAAAGTTATAACTATATGAAAGTCAAATTAAATATGTTTTATATAAATTCGAAACAAAAAACAGAATAACTATATCAAGATTGTGATTATATCAAAAGTAACTATAATAAGACCTGACTGTATTAGAAATAATTTATTTTAATTAGATATCAAATTTATGGTTCTCAAACTAGCAATCAATTATCTATTCTAATAGCTTTTTATAATGTTAAATAATTAATCTAACAGCTTTTTAAAGTTAGAATTTAATGTTAATGTTTGAATTAAGATAGTTGCATAATAAATTAAAAATTTTTTTGTTATAAATAAATTAATTGAAATAAGTCTATATAGATAATAAAGATTAGCTTAAAGGTTGCTATTTTTTATAATTTTATAAATTATTAAGCTTATGTCTATTTGCATACATATGTATAAACTTATAATATATACTTAAAGTTAGCATTATTTATATTTTTTTTCAAATATTAGTTTATTACTATTTATAATTGACACTTTAATATAACAATTTTAGATTGTTTTATTTAATATTTAAATCTTTAATTGTATTATTATAACAAATACAAATTTTTTTTTAATTATGCAAATATTATATTATCTAGGCTACTCATGAAGCTTTTTTAAATTTTTAACTACAAAAGTCTTTAATTTACCATCTACATTAACTCTAACAGTTCTATTATTATTATACATATTAACAAGTTTTCTAGTATAATACTACAGATCTGTTTCAACTTACACTTTCATGTTTTTTGATTATTGTTAAAGTCAGAAGCAATTACAACTTTATCTCCTAGTTCAAATACTAATTTTCTTCTATAAATACTTCTGTAAATCACCAACTTATTTTTATAAGCTTCATTATTTTGTGCAACCTTTTTATGCATATATTTTACCTGCATAATATAAAATTCATATGAAGCTGATTATTAATATTTTGAGTTGCAACAATCATGTCTTCAGATAGAATGTTTTTCAATATAATATCTTTAGATAAAATGGCTTCTAATGGAATATCTTCCAGTGTATTATAAATTGCATGCATCTTAAATCCAAAAATGCTTCATATAGTGATTTTTTGTATACTTGATAAGATGCCTTATTATAAGCAATTACAAATTAGGAAAAAACATTGATTCAATGATAATTCTGAACTCTAGAAACTTCATTTCACATCATTTTTGTTAAATGCTGAGCAAGTGTTTGATTAAACCTCTCAATCTTTTCTTGATTTTGTAGGTATCTAGTATAACTATAAACAAGCTTTATTTTAAATGCATTACAGATGTTTTTTAAATATTAGTTATGAACTCAGATCTATTGTCTGCTTGTAATTTAGTAAGAGGACTGAAGTTCTTAAAAATATTTACCAATTTACTATGAATTATGTTTTCTTTTTTGTTTTTAAGAAGAATTGCCTAAACATAATATGAAAATACATCAATTAATATTAAAATATAGTTATATTTATCATTATGCTTAGCATATGATAATAGGTTAACTAAATTGACCTGAAGATGTTCTAATAGGCCACTAAATACAACAGATACTAAATCAAACTTTTTCTTAATGCTTCTATTTCGGATGCAGATTGAGTACTTATTCATATACTTTTCAACTTCATCTTGGGTAATATTAATATGTTGTTTATAAATTATAGTATAAGTTTTATAATAATCAAAATAAGCAGCACCAACATGAAACTTTTCAAATAAAGTTGCCTTTAGCTTAAAATTATAGATCAGAACAATTCTTTTTTTAATAAGAAGAGAATTTTCATCTTTTGATGATTGTTTAAAAAAAAGATATCTGGTTTGTTGATCATACATAAAATTCTTGCATCTTCTTTGAAAATTTAATTTTTTTATAGGGCTCTTGTATTTTTCTGCAAAAATTCTGTGTTGAAGATAGTTAATTATATTATTAAAATCATCAGATGTATTAAATATTTTTGAAAGTCTAACTATTTCAGAATATAAATGAAAGTTAAAAAACTAGTGAACAAGTAGAAAATTAATTAACAAGTAAAAAAATCAGAGCTATATGTATAAAAAAAAATTAAGAATTATGCATTACAAATTAAAAATCAATGAATTTTTTATATATATAGTTCATCATATATAAGTCTGGACTAGGCACATATAAATCTGGGCTAGCATATATATATTTAAATTAGAATATATGAATTTGAATGCAAATAAATTCTAGCATGAAATAGTATATGGTACAATACACAGTATATTACATAATACAGTATAAATATGAATCTTTATATTTTTTTTTGATTTTTAATTGTTCATATAGGCTTTAAATTTTGATTTCTTTCATTTTAAATTTTTTTTTGTTTTATTTTTTTTATTTTTTTTTTATTTGATAGGCTAACAAATTCAAAGATAAAGAATTATATTAGAAAGATGAATAGAAATACCATGTATAATAATATAAATATTAGAAACATAATATTAACAACTAACACAACTTTAACAAATAAAATTACATACTAAAAGTGTTGATATTCACTGATAAGAAGTATTACATGCTGCTAGTAGCAATGACTTTGATAAAAAAAGACTAGACAAACCAATTTTAAAAGTAAAAATATATACTAACAACTAGCATAACTTTGAAATATATAAATAAAATTTACTAGCAACATTGATATCAATAGACAATAGCATGATGGCTTTAGCATGTGAAAATTAAAAACTTTCTCCAAAGTAACCTTGACAAGTAAGAAGTGTAATACAAAAAACTGATGTAACTTGAACAAATAAAATAGTATACTTACTAATAGTAATGATATTACTAAGTAAAGATGTAATAGCATACTATTAGTAGTAATAACTTTGATAACTAATATATATATATAACTTTTATATAAGAAGTATGACATATTATTAACAACTAATATGATTTTAACATACTGGTGAAGACAATTTTAACAGGTGAAAAGTACTACATGCAGCTTCAACAGTTAATTATACACAAAAGATACACTAGCTAAAAATAATCTCAATTAGTATAAAACTAATAATAAGTTTAAATAAATAAGATGTATAGTAATAAAATTGGTTTATTAAAAGCATATTATTTAACAGAAAACTAACATAATAGTGTTCTAATACATTATCTAATAGCAAAAAAAATCCTAGAAACCAAAGAGAAATTAAAAGATAAGTATTGTAATAAATAAAAAATTTTTCTTACATTTCAACTGCAATCTAATTTTATTTAACTAATATTATTTTAATGCATTGCAGAAGGGCTATACAACTCAAATAAGAATATTTTTAAAGATTTAAAAAGTAGAATAAACAATTAAATTAGTAAATCAAAGGAATAAGAATATGATAACAGTATATTTAACTTAAAGCACAGAAATCCAACGAATATTATCTTGACATATTTGTTGAAGTAATATCCAAATCAAATAAGAATATTCATAAAGATCTAAAAATAAAATAAATAATTAAATTGGTAAATTAAAAGAATAGGAACATAATAATGATGTATCCAACTTCAAGCACAGAATTCTAACAAATATTACTTTGTCATATTTGTTAAAATGCTATATAACTCAAATAAGAAAGTTTATGAAGATCTAAAAGTGGAATAAATTATTAAATTGGTAAATTCAAATAAATATAGATTTTAATAATATTTTTAACAAAATTCTAATAGCAATTTATTTCTATTTAGCAAATATTACCTTAACAAATTTGTTAAAGAGTCATATATGAAGATTTGACAACAATCTAAAAATTAAAAGAATTTAGATAATTCAAAAAGATAAAAATACAATAATGACATTTAAATACTATAATCAATAATGGCTTCAAGCAAAAAAAATGAAAACCTATAAATGACAAAATAAATTAGCATGCCCTTCAAGTTTTTTTATTCAGTAGGCAATAGCAAAAGCCATGACAGACCAACAATAATTCTAACAAAGAGCACACAAATCAAACTCATGCTAGCATCTAGAAAAAAAAAACAGATTAAAAATTATAAGTAAGATTTTATCTATATTGTTATATAGACTATGATTTAACTTCAATTTTATTACTAATTAAAAATTTTATTTCATTATATGAAAATTTTCTATGCATGTTATAAGAAATCCTGTGATATGTTATATAGAATTTTTGTATATTGTTATACAAAAAAAGGTACTGTTTTATTTTGATCTGATTTCATCTTAATTTGCTATATTTATTAATAACTTCAGTTAATATTAGTAAAAATATACTATTGTTACTAAGTCTTTAAAGCAGTTTACTTATATAGAAAACTTTTGATCTTGTATTAACTCTTCTAGAATCATCTGTATTCTATTATTATAGCTAACTTAGTAATACTATGACCAAAATCAATACTTGTAATCAGAATATATTATTAAACTACTATGTTTTTATAAAGTTTATTTCAATTCTAATACTTATTTCAAAATATATCTTTAGTACTTTGGTATTTAATTCAAGTTTTACTAAGCTTTTAGTTTAAATAATTTAAAAAAACAGATACAATTATACTTTTAATTTATATGTTTTTTAATATATAACTTTTTTCTATAATATTTTTTTTAAAATTCTAGTATTCTAATTAGTTATAACAATTCTTTTTCAAAAAACAGTATATTATACAGTTTTACAAATTTTAATTCTATTTTTATAGGTCTAGTCTTTATAGTAGCATCATCAAAAATTCAAACTATCTTTTTACTTAGATCTTTCAAGTGAGCTTTTGTCTTTCTGGTTCTTATAATTTATATAATTACAAAGACTTATTATAGGTTTACATTATTTAGTATTAGTTTGTATTTCTTTATACAAGATACAACTATTGTATAAATACTATATAATACAGATTAAACAAATAAATATAAGGTGAATAATATGTAAATAACAGAAAAAAAATTTGCTATTATTCTACTTTATATTTATCAAATAATAACAGTATAACAGCAGTATAACAGTAGAATAACAGTAAAATAATAGAAGGTTTGTCAATATGAATAACATAATAGTAATATAATAGCAAAATAATAGAACAGTTCTATTATTTTACTTTTAGTTACAAAGACTAAAAGT